CATATACTGGTGATCTAGCTACCATGGCAAATTTCATTGCAGGTCAGTACCCCGCAACTGTTGTGAACATGATCCTCATGGTCAATCATTAGCATTCTAAAATAGGAGACAGCACAAGTTTCTTCAGTACTCTCTTGCCAGACCACCATGTCACCTCCTCAGGAGAACATGTGAGGGTCAGACTTTGTGCCCTCCTTCAATCTGGCCCCAGCTGCATTCTATGCAATAGAAACTTCCTGAAACTTCTGTGGATAACATTCTCTTTAGGTTCTAGGTACAGGTTTTCATTTTATCTTTCTTAAACCATTAAAAATATTTCTAAAACATTTAATTTAGGACTTTAAAATGGGGCATTTGGTATATAATTTCAAAACTCTAGCTAAGAAACCTGCTTATTCTTTTAAGCATGGGTAATTGAAAGGTTAGGTAAAAAATTCAGAAGAAAAAGTGGTGACTAGATGAGAGCCTGGAAGCTCTGCCGTGATAACTGTGACAAAAATGTGATGTGCCATGTTGAAAAGAGCTACTCAGACCCCCAACCAGGGCTCCAGTCCCAGCTATGCCCCCTGTGTAAAGTGCTTTTATCTGACCTCCACTTAACTGACTCACTGGATTAAGACACTCTTCAGTCAAAAAAGCATTGACTGATTCCCTCCACACCCTGAATTTCGGCAGCCAATAGTCTGCTCCCCATCAGGCTCCACACAACTGCTCTCATCATTTTGTGTACTCATCTGCAAACCTGTCTGTGCCACTACTACATGTTTTTAACTGTATACTTAACAAAATATCACACAATCAATTAAATAAAAACACAGGAGAAAAATCTGCCTCTATGAAAACTAAGTTAAATGAAGAGTTGGGAAGGAAAGCTGCTAAAGCAATATATTGCTATGAATTACAAGAAAACTCTAACAGATCTGGAAAGTTAAATGGTAAAATCTGGAAGGATTTTTCTTTCAAGTGGCTTTGATTGTATCATTAAATTCTACATCCACTTTAATAGAATCAAAACTTAGGATCGGAACTGATACATTATGGAAATGATTGATGCAAGAAAGATGGTTCAGAAATCTAGTTATATGAACATACATAAAAGAAAAGTTTTATTAATAAAATTATGAAGCTGTCAATCTGTTCAGGCTGCTATAATAAAATACCGTGGACTAGGTGACTTGTAAACAACAAACATGTATTCCTTATAATTCTAAAGGCTGGGAATTCTAAGATCATGATGCCAGCATAGTAGGTATGGTAAGTAAGTAAGTAAGTGTTAAGTGTTAGTTGCTCAGTCGTGCCCAACTCTGTGCAACCCCATGGACTGCAGCCTATGAGGCTCCCCTGTCCATGAGATTTTCCAGGCAAGGATACTGGAATGGGTTGCCATTTCCTTCTCCAGGAGATCTTCCCAACCCAGAGATCGAACCCAGGTCTCCTGCATTGCAGGGAGATTCTTTACCGACTGACAGTCTTATTTCCTGGTTCATAGATGTTATCATGTTTCTGTGTTGTCACATGTTCCAAAGGGACTAAAGATCTCTCTGGGGCATCTTTTACAAGGGCACTAACCCTGTTCATAGGGCTCCACCCTCCTGACTTAAGTATCAAAGGCTCCACCTCCTTATACCAAGCCCTCTGAGAGCTAGGATTTCAACATATGAATTTTCAGGGGATGCAAGTATTCAAACTATAGTTCTAATGTGCATTTATTTTTTTTCCATTTATTTTTATTAATTGGAGGCTAATTACTTTACAATATTGTAGTGGTTTTTGCCATACATTGACATGAATCAGCCATGGAATGTGCATTTATTTTGCTGGTTATCACTATTGCTATACAAGATTGTCCAATGGCAGTTCTCTCTGTATCAATCTCTTTCTTTCATTCTCATTCTCTTTCTCTCCACACATTCCATCATCCCCCTCACCTCCATCTGTCTTTCATAGTTTCTCTTTCTGTCACAGATCTGTTATTACCTTTGCCCCATATTCTGTTTCTTTGTATGTGACTTGTGTGTCTTCCCTTTTCCCACCTTCTCCCTCAGAGACATAAGATGACCACCCCTTGCTCTGGATGCTAGAGAATAACCAGTGGAACATGAGGAGTAGACTACTGAGTCACTCAGTCAAGCCCACAGGCATTTTCTAGTGAGCCACTGCTAAGCCAGGCTCTACCTCCTCTGTTCCAATATCCCAGCTCTCTTGTTCAGAATCAAACCTTGATTTTGCGGCCAGTACCTGGAATTCAGGCCTGGAAATTTCGAAGAACAGACATAGGGGGAACATATATTAAAAACTCTGTTATCAGAGTCTTCTTTGGTTGATCAAAAAGTCTATTAAGGTGTGGAATCATAAGAAAATACATATTTACTTCAATCTATTTTATGGTGTGATTAAACCTGGTGAATGATGTCCTTGAGGAAACACTGCCCTTCCCTCAATGGCCCTCAGTTGGAAAGAGAACCCTCAGCAGGACAGACCAGGCTTTGAACTATATCTGTATTTCTAATGTGGTTCTACCCTCACTCTAGAATCTGAGCACACAGTGACAAAATCAGAGTATCTGGTGTTGTGGAAAGCATACAAAATGTGAAATAAGACAGAATTCTAAGACCCTGGGGAAGTTCTTTACTTCTCTCACACTCCATTTTCTCATCTATGAAATGGACATGCCATATCTCTTAGGACTCTTATGAGGACTGAATCAGATTAAGACATGCACAATGATCAACCAATTGGTTCACCCACCCAAGCAACAAATCCTGTACTAAATATGTTTGCAATAAATCCTGGAAAAGTCCTCTTCACTTCAAGATTATGGATACTGTACATGTATCCCACTGTTCACTGCAGCACTATTTATAATAGCTGTGGAACCAACCTAAATGTCCATCAACAGAGGAATGCATAAAGAAGATGTGGTATGCATAAACAGTGGAATATTACTCAGCAATAAAAAAGAAAAAGTAATGTCATTTGCAGCACTATGAATGGACCTAGAGATTGTCAGACTGAGTGAAGTCAGACATAGAAAGACAAATATCATGATATTGCTTATATGTAGAATCTTTTTTTTTAAGGTGCAAATGAACTCATTTACAAAACAGAGGTAGATTCACAGATATAGAAAACAAACTTCTAGTTCCCAGGGGATAAAGGTGAGAGGAGGGATAAGATGGGAGACTGAGGCTGACATATATACCCTACTATGCATAAAATAGATAACTGATAACAGCCTGCTGTATAACACAGGGAACTCTACTCAGTACTTTGTAAAGACCTATATGGGAAAAGAATCTTTTAAAAAGTAGATATATGTATACATATAACTGATTCACTTTGTTGTGCATCTGAAACTAACACAACATTGTAAATCAACTATACTCCAATGAAGTTTTTTTTTAAAAAAAGATTATAGCTACTGTAGATCCTAAACCATATGATCACAGAACTCCAAGCACTGAGGCTCATTTCATAAAGATATCAGCAACCTTGAAAGGTACTGTGTACAGGGAGGCCTAACAACTGAACTCAGGTTACAGTTTTGGTGTGAGGTATGTGGGTGCTGTCTGAGCTGAACGTGCTGTAAGACTTGCCCTTCAGACTTTTGCATGGATAGAGCTAGTAAATTTCATTCCACACCTGTTCTACAGCACTAGGGATTTGGAATGGAAACTTCCTCTTCCTCTCTACACAACTCTACACAAAAATGATGCCCCAGAGGAAGAAGGAGGATCATTCTTCTGCCAAGAAAGGGCATGTGAGCAATTATGCCACATTGATGGAAAATCTCAGTCCTATTTCTCCCTTCCCTCTCAACACACACATACACACATCTTGTCAGTTGTAGAAACAAAAATGCCTCTTGGAAGTGAATATCTGTGACAGTAGAACATAGTTAACAGTGTGGGCTTTGGAATCAGACACACCTTGGTTTAAATCTGGATTCTGCCACGTAACTGCCTGTGTGAAGCTGGGAAACTCAGCCAACCTTTCTGAGCCTCAGCCATGTGTCAAACAAGACTAATAAAAACAACTGTGCAGGGCTAGTGCTTAAATAAATAAAGGTGACAGGAGGGATAAGATGGGAGACTGAGGCTGACATATATACCCTACTATGCATAAAATAGATAACTGATAACAGCCTGCTGTATAACACAGGGAACTCTACTCAGTACTTTGTAAAGACCTATATGGGAAAAGAATCTTTTAAAAAGTAGATATATGTATACATATAACTGATTCACTTTGTTGTGCATCTGAAACTAACACAACATTGTAAATCAACTATACTCCAATGAAGTTTTTTTTTAAAAAAAGATTATAGCTACTGTAGATCCTAAACCATATGATCACAGAACTCCAAGCACTGAGGCTCATTTCATAAAGATATCAGCAACCTTGAAAGGTACTGTGTACAGGGAGGCCTAACAACTGAATTCAGGTTACAGTTTTGGTGTGAGGTATGTGGGTGCTGTCTGAGCTGAACGTGCTGTAAGACTTGCCCTTCAGACTTTTGCATGGATAGAGCTAGTAAATTTCATTCCACACCTGTTCTACAGCACTAGGGATTTGGAATGGAAACTTCCTCTTCCTCTCTACACAACTCTACACAAAGATGATGCCCCAGAGGAAGAAGGAGGATCATTCTTCTGCCAAGAAAGGGCATGTGAGCAATTATGCCACATTGATGGAAAATCTCAGTCCTATTTCTCCCTTCCCTCTCAACACACACATACACACATCTTGTCAGTTGTAGAAACAAAAATGCCTCTTGGAAGTGAATATCTGTGACAGTAGAACATAGTTAACAGTGTGGGCTTTGGAATCAGACACACCTTGGTTTAAATCTGGATTCTGCCACGTAACTGCCTGTGTGAAGCTGGGAAACTCAGCCAACCTTTCTGAGCCTCAGCCATGTGTCAAACAAGACTAATAAAAACAACTGTGCAAGGCTAGTGCTTAAATAAAGTGATACAGTAATGCTTGGCTTACAGTACCTGGCATCCATGGTAATACTCAATCAGTAGTAGTGGTAACAGTAGCAGCAGCAGCAGATACAGTTATCACTGATGATGATGTTGATGCTGTTAATGCCTGACTCGGGATCCCAGCACCAGCTTCCTAGGCAGTGAAGGATAAGGACAAAACAGATAGCTCCAAACATGGAATCATCCCAGAGTTAGCGACCACTTGGGCTTTTTCTCTTTTTTCTCCTCTTTCAAAGGAGAGGACTGTTTTCACAGTCTTCACAGGATGGGCATGAAATCTACACCTGATTTCTGTACCGACCACCCACACCAGTGATATATGTGGCAACAGACGCACTGTGAGCCTCTCACCAACATTTAGGATTCTGAAATGGAAATGATGGATGACTTTATCCTGCACCCTGGCAATCTCAGCCCTTCCAACAGTTCCAACAGCTTCTAGTCATAACCCTGCGATTTGAGAACAATGAATCTTAATATAATTGAGTTAACTGTATCATTTTTAATGTAAGACAATCTTGATTACAGCCAAAGGGCACCATTAATACGCTGAAGGAATGGCCGAGATTTTAGCATGTGAATGTTGTACAGAAAATAGAACTAATTAGCACTAATTTAATTCGAAGATTAAAGAAAATTCTGCTTTTAATTTTTAATTTAAGACAAACCATTTTACTTCGAACAAAGAAAGAATAATAAGTACATTTTTTTCCATCTGAAAGGCAATTTTTACTTTTGCATTATTACACTAATGTGGGACTATGGGAATCCTGACCCCATTAGAGATCAAATAATCAGCATTTAATTATTGACAGCAAATTAATATTTAATAAAGACACAAGGGTTCCGGTATATGAAAGAAAGGCACCAAGGTTCTGCTGACCCAGAAACGTCCAGAAGGTCCCTTAGTCAGAACGTGATCTCCTTGCTGAGGGTAGCGAGTCAGGATCCCCAAAGGGTCCTGGCAGTTTATTTCCATCCCAGCTACCAAGACAAGGAGCAGGAAGACCAGAGTCTGAGCAATTGCCCCTTCCAGTTCCTATTCCACAACCCCCCAACAGTTCTTTCTTAATCAAGCACTTAAGCTAAATAATACATCGAATGTCATAACCAAAAGGAGGACAGTCATAATAAAAAAATAATAAAAGAAGTGGCCAATCCCCCTTTTTATTCTGCAAAATAATACTGACTTTTCTTTGCTGTGGGACTGCTTGTCAGGGATAATTTCTAACCAAAGAAGACATAATGGATTTACAATGAAACTCTGATGCTTTCCCCTGGCCTCACAAAGATTCTGAAAATAAGTACTATTACATTAGCAGTCCAAGGAAAGCCAAGAAAAAGCTGTTAGGCCATTTCCTGAGAAAGCCAAAGCAGTGTGCAGAGAATGGCCTGTGGGTGACCTGGTGTTGGATCTAAAACCTATCTGCACTCCCTTCAAATCTCAGCAATAAAAATCAGACCAGGCCTTCTCTGGACTTGTTGAAGTGATGGCAGCTGGCCTGGAGTAGAATATCCTTAAACCAGGCTAGAGGACTGTGTACTCAGCATGTGCTGCCTGACTCCAAGCCTCAGTCTCTTAAATCATTTCAGGTAGACACCTTCAGGGCTTACCACTGGGACATGCAAGGTAAATCCAGCCTAACAACTTGGAGATGCCAGATTACACTGACATGCAGGGTCTGTGTTAAAACTGACCTAGGGGAGCTTTCACTTGGATATTCCATTCAGGCCTTTGGTTCCACTCCACAGTGCAGCTCAGTCTTGGCAGGCTCTAAATATCCTGTGTTTTATTTCTACCAATTCCTCGTTGATAAGCTATACAAGGAAAGTTAACAAGCAGATACTTTGGTGGACACTCTCTGTCTGGCCTGATTCCATGTTGTAGAGAGAGAACACAGCAGTCAGACTAAAGAAGTGTATGTATTGTGGCTGTCTGGACTGGGAGGCAAAGGGTGGATGCCTGATGGTACTTGTCTGCCTCTCAGTGAGTTGATTTCATCATGTTTGAATAAAGCAAGCATGGGATTTAGCCTGAGAAAGTAAGTGGGCCTGAAATCATGGGGTGATCCAGAAGGTAAGAGGGGCCTGTAGTAGAGGCACTATTTACAACAGGCAGCTACAAACAAGGTTATACAACTAAGGGGAGGCTCTTCAAGCAAGACTAAATGAAACAATGCATGAAAAATTCTTAGCACATTAGTGCTAGATAAACCATAGCTATCAGTATCATTTTTATTGACCAAGATCTTTCTACTGTTTCTTCAGGGGGGTGACACTGAGTTGAAAGAACCCATAGCTCTAACCTAAGCCAACCCCTTCTGAATGGGGAGGTGGAAGTTCAGGGAAATCAATGGTTGACTTGAAGTTGCACAGACAGTGAGGCAGAGCCAAGGCATGTATCTGCACTGCTTCAACCAGTCTGGACTTTTCACCAGGAACCTTCCCCGTCCCTAGGTTGGGACCTACAGGAGTCAACAGATGAAGGAAACTGAAGCAGGGCCAACTTTGTAGGCTGGACTATGCTGGGCCTCAACTGGGTTTGAACTCCAAACTCTGAGGCTGTCTCTAGCGTTCTCCTAACATATTCCCATGGAACCTAATAGCAAAGACCAAGGAAGAAAACAGTCAGTGCATCTGGAAGAGACTTCCCAAATGGTCATTTCCAGGGGTCAGCATCTTCTGGCTCCAGAGAGTGCTGCTAGCAAACCAGTCCCTGGAACTCCCTAGCCACCAATGCATTTTCCCACAAAATAGCTCCAGGGCCAACAGAGGGACCTCATAGACTTGTTCTCTCTAGTTTGACTCCTGCATGAAATAACAGTTGTATATGGGATAAGCCCAGACCTGAAAGGGACAAGTATAGAACTCTGCAGACAATCACCAGCTTTTGCCCAACCACTGCAAAGGAATCTTCATGGCTGTCTAAAGGCAGCAGACTTTATAACATGGTTTTATCTGCTTCTTGCTTTAACCCAGGAGCTAAGGTAATAATGGATTATACAGGCCACTGTATTCTCTCCCAATACCAACACTTTGTTTGTGTCCTGGGCCTGTGTACCCTTGGATCTATTCTCTTCCTTTTTGGGGGGTCTGGTCTTACAGCACATGGATACTGACCCCTGCAAGTTATTTTTTCAGGCTCTCTTCTCACCTGGTCTCCAGATGGATTCAGCCAATGGGAAGCACTAAGGGGAGACTAGAGAAAAGGAAGGAGGGGCCGGGATATTTCTCTGCCTCTGGTAGCTTCTCTTGAAGCAGTTACGTATTCTCTTGGGCTCCAGCTCATATAGACAAACTTGTCCTGGTTTCAGATTCCACCAGGTGACCCAATTGCTGCTTCCTCCTTCTGTCCCTTCAGGCCCAAAACAGTACCTTCCTGATTTTGCTAACCTGTGGTTACTGCACTGTCCTGTTTGACTTAGCTCCTCCAAAATTTCCCTGTCTTAAAACCTCTCCACCATATAAACACTTGAAATGATTTCCTTTTTCTGATTAGGCCTTGATTGACACGTACGGTGCCTGGAACATGGCATATCACCCAAATAATATTTGTATTTGTATTCATGTACAAATATAGGCTCCTATGACATCCATCAAACAATATTTTAATTGCCCAGCCCACCTCCCTAAGAAAAGGGAGACAGAGAATGGACATTTGTTTAGTGTCTGTTTTATGCCAGGCTCAGTGGTAATACTTCCATACATCATACTATTTAATCCTTGCAACAATATCACGAGGTAGCTCTTAGTATCCAATGTTTATGAATGAGAAAATGAAGGCCAAAAAGATTAAGATTATTTCACCAATGAGTTTGAGAACAAGAATTCAGACTTGCCCCACGGAACTCCCAAGGAAGCCAGCCAGCATCCCTTCTCCTCATCCAGAATTCTTAAGGTGTTCTTGTTTTTCTTTAATTTTTGTTGTTGTTGCAGTTGACAAATCACTGTGTGAATACAATCCTATTCTGACTACCATTTAAAAAAATTTTGCAAAGCTCAGCTGCTCTAACGGCTCTGGTTGGATCAAGGATGAGCCCTGGAACTTCACCCTCTCGTCTCCCCATCACCACCACAAGGGCTTCTTGAGCCACTTTGGAAACACTGGCTGCTGTACACTAAGCGGACATCTATTTGGCTCCCTTGCATTAAGTCTCTCCCATTCTCAACCTGTCTTGTACTGAGATGCCCAATTAATTTTCCTAAATTTCACCTCTAATTGCATTGCTCACTACTCAGAGAAGGCTTCCTTTTGCCTGCCAGCTTGAGAAAAAATTTCTCTTACAGGCATTAATGATCCACAACAGGCCAATTTTATCATGGTCTATACCCTTATTACTCCACTTGAAGAATTACTCCTGCATTCCAAACATTCCCATGTTTTCTGCTTAATACTTTTCCACATGATGTTTCCCCCTCCTGGAATACTTTTCTACATTCTCCCACTGGCATCTGTCAGACCACCACCTACCCTTCAAAAGTCATCTATAATTCACCTTAGCTTCTCAGGTGGCTCAGTGGTAAAGAATCTGTCCACCAAATCAGGAGACGCAGGAGAGGCAGGTTCGATCCCATGTCAGGAAGGGAAGATCCCCTGGAGAAGGAAATGGCAACCCACTCGAGTATTCTTGGCTGGAAAAATCCCATGGACAGAAGAGCCTGGCAGGCTACAGTCCATAGAGTCACAAAGAGTTGGACACGGCTGAATGATTGATCATGCATACATAACTCACCTTCTCCATGAAGCCCCCACAAATGTGGTATAATTTCCCCTTTTAATCAGGTCCTCTATCACTCTTTGCAATATTTTGCCCCATATTAAAGTTATTTGTGAGCATGTCACATCCTTTTATGAGAACTGAGAATCATCCCCATGTTCCCCACTGCACGTAGCATCATGCTTTGCAAATTTTGAGTATTCAGTAAGGGTTTGTTGAATTCAGTAGAGCTGGTAGTATTTAATTTAACTTAGTGACAGGTCAGGAAAGCGCTCTTCCCTAAATTGTAAACCAGGCAAAGTTTGACATCCCTCCATCCCATCAGTGTCTTCTTTCCCTCACTGATGCCTCTCTCTCAGACATCACCTGTCTGCCTTCACACCAATTAACTATTAACAGATGCCT